AACTAATGCAGATTTATGTTGTCATGAATTTGTGCCCACTATTAATAATATAACGTAATGATACTGTCAATTAGAGAACAATGATTTATTAACCGGAACAATGATGCATAAAACCGGTACAAGGAGTCTAGAGTTTTTATCGGTCCTGATTCCTGCTCAACCCTAAATGTTACAGTTCCGAACATTAATCTCAGCCTCTGTGATCTGAATCATTTATTTCAAGCATATTGAGTTTATATACCAATCAAACAGACCGCATCGTACCATAAAGTAGAAAATATACATTTGTACAAGATCTAACGGCTGTGGATGTGAGTCACTGTAATTAATCGACTGGGCATAACTCAAGAATGGTAAATCGTATAATAATAGTCTATGAGTTAAAATAAAGCTTGTAATAAGAGTAATGTGAATATACACAGTTTAGTTACATACAATAAATAAATATGTACAGTATTAGTCCAGAAATAGAATCCAACAGATACCATTCATTCTTCTCACTGAAATATAACATATATGACAATATGGAGTTATTTCTGTAGGCATGTATTATATTCATTGTAAAGAATTTGGATAATTTGATATAATATTGTTTCTTCTACTTAATTAAATGATTGGTTAAATTGACAATCAGAGTTATCTAGTTAATAATTTTTAATCTACACTTAATGTGGCATGCATGCCTCAAAGCTTCACCGATGAAATGATTGACTGGTTGATTGTCACACAGACGACTAACGGGTCGAACAATTTGAGAGATGGAATGCAGGCTTCCAGTGAGTGAGTGATTCAGGCGGTCAGTTGCACACACGACTGTTTGTGTGTGCATATACGAATGAAGTGAGTGACAATGCAAGCGGTATTGTTGATGTGAGTGAGTGTTGGTGTTGTGTGTGTGTGTGTGGTTGTGTCAGTGGGCATAGACAGTTGTCAAAAGCCTGCCCCAGGTGAGACTCGAACTCACGACCTTCAGATTATGAGACTGACGCGCTAACCTACTGCGCTACTAGGGCGCAGCTCGCCGCTACGACCCCAGCCTCACCATATGCACACACACACAAACATCACTAACACAACACAACCAACATTTACACAACTAACTTACACTCAACTAATATGCTCACCTCCACAACAACAACATACAAAACGACTACGACCACTACTAACTACACCATCACTACAAATACTAACAGCAATACCACTACTTCATAATCCTACTACTCACTCACTATACAACCTCCATATCTACCACTAACACTAACACCACAACAAACACGACTTCGACTACTCCACCAACACCATGTGATTTCATGTCCACACACAAACATTTACAATAGATCTGTCAATATACTTCCACCCAACATTCAATACTCCTTTTCACTGTTATAGAAAATTTCAATGTGATTAAGTTAATACGAAAAGTTGTTTCTCATGTTCATCCACGTTTTTAATGTGAATATCTAGAGTTGGTAATATAACATAGTATGTATATTTTCTTGCATAATAATTTAGAATGATAATTGGGTTAATGAACGTGACAATATGAGAATGATTGATCTGAGATCATATTTAGGATTCTATAAATTGCTTAGACAGTTGACCTTTTTTTAAAAAAAAATCAATATTATCAACGATTCAACACTCTACAGTTCATTTACATTCCTCTGAACTGTAATCAGTTAATTGATCCATTCTAAACTGATCTTAATTTTGTAAACCATTTAGTTACATATGAAATGGAAAGTATGTCATAATCAACTAGTGATCAGTAAGCTGTGGGCAGTGGAGTTCAACCGTATCTGTTGCAAGGCATTTACTGAATGAAGACAGTGGTGAACGGTTGTGAATTAATTAAAGTTAGGCATTAACACTATTGAATCCCGGTTCATTGATCTAGAGATTAATCATTCGAGAGAGAAACTAATGGTCGTAGGTTCGAATCCTGATGTGCAGAATTATGGATGCCCATTGCTAAGTTCTATACTACGACAATAATGGTCTAACTTAAATCAGCTCATGAATTCAACTTTGAAAATGGAAATAAAATAACATATAGTCTAAATGAATAATTAAAATCAGAAGGGATTTTGTGGATATGATAGTAATTTCAATAGTTGAAATCATGAGTCAATTGAAGCTAGACCAACACTATGGAAACCCTGAAAACACTGAATGACTGTTTTGTTCTATTGTGGGACTCCTTCGTGGCAGTGTGCATCCACGATCCCGCCTCACGAGACCTATCATACATGTTTAGAAATGGGGAAATGTGATAAGTTGAAAAAAACAACAGGAAAATAAGGCAAATAAAACTTTATATATACAGATAGTGAATTAAGATAATTAATTCAAGAACATTGTTAGTTGCTAATCATTTGACAATAGATATAGTAAAATCATGTTCTATATATATAATCAATGATCATGTGAATGTTGTAATAAAGAAATTAAAAAAACTAGGATAATCTATAATCAATATCCATAACAGTAATATCCTTTTAAGGCAATATATAAAAGAAAGAAAGGGAGGAGAGAGGGAGAAAGAGAGAGGGAGGAGGAAGAGAGAGAAATTAAAATATCACAAGTTAATCAACATTACAATTTTGACCTTGATATTTTCTAATAAGGGCTTTATTGTTAATGATTAGTTAGATCAAATAGGTATGAATCTTTACCATTACAGTTATCTTCTTTTATTTATCTACCTCTTTCTTCTTGTAAACGTTCTTGGATGCGCACTACTGAGGAGTCCCACAGTAGGATGAAGCGTTCGTTCAGTGTTTCAAGGTTTTTCATAGTGGTCTAGCTTCAATTGACTCTTGAATTCAATTAATAAATTACCAGAATATCTACAAAATCTTTCACTAATTACTAAGTTTTTTTATTCATTTATTGTTAATTTCTTGGGGGTATTTTTTGTACTATATATCCTAGATGAATTATGATTTAGGATTATAAATTCAGGAATTCTGGTTTGAATTATTTTTCCTGATTAGCGTTTTGTTAGCGAGTTAGTTTTCTACAGGATGTGGTCGCTAACCCCCATGCCCAACTCTCTTCCTTTACCCGGTCTTGGGACCTGCAGTAACTCTAGAAGTGCTACAGATGGAAATCTTCAAGCTGCATCACGAGACAAGCCCCAACTTGGATTCCTGAAGGGAAAGGGAAAAGAAGAAAACCCAAGATTACATTACGTCGTGAAATAGAAGCGAATAGGAGAAGGATGAATAACAACTGGAAAGGATTTCTCAGGACAGAGTCGGATGGCGAGTGAGTAAGTAAGGAATTCTGGTACAAAAATCTGGACCAGTGGAATTTAAACGATTCAGGGGAATGGTAGTTGCCTACCAATTACATTACACGGAGGTCGTTAAATATTATTATTCGACTGAAATCAGAAGTGTATACAATCGAATTCCATTTCATTGGTTTCAAGCTTAAATAGTTAATGAAAGATTTAAACGCCTGGATTCGACCCCTAGTAGGATTTTAAATACGTAGTGCTCAAAACTCTGTCTCCAATGATAATCTGACTAAGATTGTTTTGTGATGTCAACTATGAAATAATTATAATACTTTTATGCATCAAAAGTAAGGATTTTATATAGTTATAGTTATTTTCTATAGTCTAGCTTAGAATAGTACATTTTGATTCTTTGAAAATGAATGATAATTAATGATGAATAATGGTTAGTAATGGAATCCAGGATGTGAGCCACTTAGAGCTATTTGGGACTAGTCAGTTGGATGTATTTACATCTCAGAGTTGATGTTCACTCTGAGACTTGAACTCAGTACCATTTGAAGTAGTTTCTAAACTTTTTATTCTGTTAGTTATAAAATACAATTCTATGCAAATTCATTTTACATACTAATGATTATCCGAAGGGATTTTGTGTAGATTTTAATACTTTCAACAGTCGAACTCATGAGTCAATTGAAACTAAACCACTATGAAAAACCTGGAAGTACTGGACAATTGATAGATCTTTGATTCGAACCTCTTGAGGCGGAATCGTAGAAGCGCACTACTCAGGTGTTCTATACCAGAATGAAACAGCCATCCAATTCTTCCAGGTTTTCCATGATTCTTTATCTTCATTTGACTCATGAATTCATCCACTCATGGAGTTCTAGTGAGAAGCCGTTACCAGTGGAGTTCAACCAGGTCTATTGTGAGATAGGAACTCACTGAAGACAATGGTGTACGGTGGCGCAACTTCGTGGATTGGTTGTAGTTAGACATTAACACCATTGAATGCCGGCTCAATATTCTGTTGGTTAAGCGCCCGCGTGCCAGACTGATAGGTCATGGGTTCGAATCTCGCGAGGGGCGGGATCGTGGATGCGCACTGTTGAGGAGTCCTATACTAGAACGAAACGGCCGTCCAGTGTTTCCAGGTTTTCCATAGTGGTCTGGCTTCAATTGACTCATGATTTCAACCAGTGAAATAATAACTATAATAATGATAGAAACATATATACACAGACACATAAGTTTTATACATTCATATGAACTATTACAGATTATACAAACAAGAATTCAATCAATATACAATCGAGAAGAATGTGGATACCACACTACCTATTACATAATCACTCATAGTACACAATAAACAAACAAAAAAAACTGCATACATATGTATATATATATATGTATTTGTTTCTTTAAAATCATACTTATATACAGTGAAATATGGACATTAGATCAAAATATAACTAGATTTATTATATTATTTACACCCATGGATTAGAGCTATATAGTCATTCATAAAATAACTAAGTTTCATTACATAGAACATTGGTATGTGTGTGTTTGTTTGTTTGTTTATGTTCCATTGCTTCATTATAACACCATAAACAATAATAGAGTACCAGAATAATGTATATATACATAATAATTACTCATAATTATTGTTTAGTACTTCAATACTACTAACAAATATTATTTAAGTAGTAAGTGAACAAGTAGAATATAATTGAAAATATTCATTTATAAATTAATCTTTTAATGTTGACATAGTTTGTTGTATATTATTATTCAACCATTGAATAACACGATTATGTGATGTATGCCAAAAATCAGTCAATTCTAAATTGAACATTTCATTTAAATAATCAATTGTTTTAATAAAATCATTATCATTATCTTTATCTTTGATATCATCATTCAAATTTTTATCCAGTGTATAATTTCGTTTGCATTCAAATGATTGACATTTTTTACATTCTTCAATAGAATTAGTCATTTCATTCAGAGATGATTGTTGATCTTCATGAATATGATGATGATGATGATGGTGATGGTGATGATGATGATGTTGATGATGGTGATGATGAATATGATGACAATGATGAGGAGGATATTTATCCCGGAAATGAGGAAGATTATCAATATCATTTTCAATGGGTTCGATTTTCTCTGTCACTTCAGTGTTTAGTGAATCCCTACGTGGTTGTGGTTGTTGTTGTTGTCCAACCTCATCAATATTATTGTCAGTGTCATTTGTTTTCTTCAAAGATTCTTCATTTGTTAAATTAATTCCCTTATCTGTATTATGATTTTGACATTGATCATACTGTTGACAATGATGATGATGGTGGTGATGATGATGATGATGATGTTGATAATGATGCCTATGATGTGCATAATCTGGTTCTTGATGATGAATAGAAAAATCTTCATTTGATAATTTGATAGTAAATTTATTTGCTTTCCTATCAGTAGCTGGTGATTGAGATGAACATGTTTTTAACCACATACTCCAATTAGAATCATCATTTTCAGAATTATCATTTGATATTATAGGAATACTATATGATGATAATTCACTTAATCCAGATAATGGTAGAATATCTGTATCTAATGAATCATCAAGCCACATTAATGATGCTTGATTTAATATTGTTGATTCCTTTCGACTATTATCATTATTATTATTACTATTACTATTATTATTACTAGTTGAAAAGTCGGGATTCATTTCATCTTGTAAATTATCAATCATATAATCATACATATTTGATTGATTATTGATTTTTTCATCATGAGAATAAATGTTAGAAAAGTGACTTTTCAAATCATCATCATCATTATTATTATTATCATCTCCATAATCCATAAATGAATGTTGTGTAATATGATATTCCATTATTTTCAATGATTTTGTTTCATACTATAATATTCAGTTCATTTATTGTTCTGTAACATTCCTGTATGGATCTTCTTTATTTTGGTTATACATAGATATGATGAAATATATATATGTATTTGTTTGTTTGTTTTATAATGCATCAGATGAAGTTTCTCACATCACTTACATCATCGTCGCCAACATCATCATCATCATGATGATCATCCACTCATATGGATTTTTGCATTCCAATCATGATCATATAAAATATTTCAAGTTCAAATAGATTTCATTTTAACCAATCAGAAATTGAATTATAATTCCACCAATCAAAAACGAGATAATTCAATCATTTGATTAATTTATTGACCAATAGAAATTTAGACAAATCAATTATTATATTCTATGCATATTCAGATTATAAATATAGGTGGTTAGAAATGGATAGAAACAGGATTATGGGTTTCGTTCGATTTGAAAAGTAAACAATATCAAATGAATTTAAACTTCAATTCATTGTACAAACAAGTGATTATTAGGACATAGTAGTCAAGTGATTAATACGATGGCATTTAAATCGAACGATAATTGGGTTCGAGTCCCATAATAAACATCAACTCTGAGATGCATGTACATTCAGTTGAATAGTCGCAAAATAGGATGAAATGCGCATCCTAGATTCTACTGCTAGTTACTATCCATCTTTGCATAGAATGCTTGTGAATGAAGGCAATGAGCACAGTATGTACATCCTAGTATGTGATTCCTAAGTAGTGCACATCCACGATCACGCAAATAGAGCTCGAACTTAGGCCTTTCTGTTTCTCGCGCGACGGTCTATAGTAATATTAGTGATAGTGGTGGATTCTATGCTTACTCAGGGTCACTGAACACTTGTCTTTGGTAGGGTTGGTCTGTGTACCTATAAATATACATGAACCGTGTATTGAATTCATTAGCTACACAACAATATAGCCTGATACTCTATTCTGACAATTTTACAATGTTTGATTAGATTGATTGCTTGATGAACCTCAAGACAAATAATAAGTGAAAATTTATGTTGTTTAGATACTACTGAGATAACAAACACTTGTAGACATTCATTTTTGTGTTAATTTTTTGAATTTTCCAATTATTGTTTAGGACTGCAATTGATCAGTCTCCTATTGGCAAATGTGCATTCTGTTCCGATTGCCTCGATATTGCCTTAATTCATATGCATTCTAAGCAAAGATGAATAGTGACTAGCAGTGAAATCCAGTACGTGCATTTCGTCCCATTTGGGACTCGTCAACTGGATGTACCTACATCCTAAAGTTAATGCTCCCTCCAAGACTCGCACCACACTGTTAGTTGTTATAAAATATCATCACAGTTTTAAGTAACTGTATATTTTGAAGTACTTATTCATATTAGTTGTTAATCAAATGAAACAATATAGATTATTCATGTGAACAACTTGACAATATAATATCTATCTCTTATACTTATATAAATAACCTCAACTACAGTGATAAATAATACTTGAAAATCAATAAAATTTAATTCCATTGATACTTACTACATTTGTTACATCAAATGAACTGACCACATTGAATGAATGAATGAATAAATCAATCAATCAAGGTATACCGACTGTACTTATAATCAGTTGAGAATAATATTTCCGACTATTCACATCGTATTCTTTCTCTTTTGATGACAATCACCATGACCTACTAAAAACCTTTTAATCCTCGTGGAGGAGAATAGACCGACCACCAGCACTCGCCATCCAACCCTGTCCCGAGCAATCCATTCCATCTCTCTCCAGTTTTCATTCATCTTTTTCATTGTCTGCATCTAGTTCCCGACGTAATGTGTTCTTTGGCCTTCCTCTTTTCCGCTTCCCTTCAGGATTCCAAGTTAGGGATTGCCTCGTGATGCAGTTTGATGATTTGCATAATGTATGTTCTATCCATTTCCATCATCTTTTCCGAATTTCCTCTTCATCTGGAAGCTGGTTTGTTCTCTCCCAGAGAAGACTGTTGCTGATAGTATCCGGCTGATCGATGTTGAATATTTTGTATAGACAACTATTTATAAATACTTGTACCTTCTTGATGATGGTTTTAATAGTTCTCGAAATTTCAGCTCCGTACAGTAGAATTGCCTTGATGTTCGTATTGAAGATTGTGACTTCGATATTGGTTTACTCTGCCTGCAGCTCTTCTATAGTTACTACCGGTTCCAAGACCGGTTAAAGGAGGAAGGTTGGGCATGGGGTTAGCAACCCCATACCGTAGAAAACTAACTCGCTAAAAAACGTTAACCAGAATATCGGCATGACAATTAACAAGAATTTCTGAATTTGGATCTCATGCTGATTGACACTTATCATCTTGATGTCTCTAGAATCTTGATAGGATTGATACCATCCAATATAATAAATAAAAAGGTTACTGTTAAGTTAGTTAGCTTCTGACCAATCTTTAATAAAAGTGAGATAATTAAAATAATTACTTGCTAAGATTAACGATCATACTGAAACATGATCTAGAGATTTTGATTGAAATTCAGGATTAGAAAAGAATAATATTGGTATCAGAAGGGGTTTTGTGGAGAATGTAGTAACTTCAATAGTTGAGATCATGAGTCAATTAAGGCTAGACCACTATGGAAAACCTGGAATCACTGGACGGCCATTTCGTTTTATTGTGAGACTCCTCCCTAGCAGTACGCATCCACGGTCCCGCCTCGCAAGATTCGAACCCAGGACCCATCAGTCTCACGCGTGAGTGCTTATCCACTATTGATTACTATTCATTGGTTAGTGAGTATAGAGATTGTTTGTTTGTTCTACTGGTCCGTTGTTAAGTATAAACCCTTCGTCCATCTGAAGTTTCAATTTAGAAACTCAACTCCTTTATTAGGAGTACAAGTTAATGTATTTGGTTTTAAGGACTTGTAATAATACAAGAATTACTTAAATCAAAGTAGACTGAAAGACATACCCTTCAATTAAGTAGCAGTGCATAAATATCTACTCTGAAGTACACATTTATTAGTGATAAGAATCGAACTTAATACACTATTATGATTTGACTGATAACAACTAGATCTTAAACTGTCACAACCTTACGCACACTTTCTAAATACAAATATTCTATTTTGATGAAGTTTTGTTCTCTGAGCTGGATGGTTTGATCGTGAAACTTTCATCGTTCCTCTGAATAACATCATCAACACAAACTTTAGGTAGAAGTGAAGTGTTCGAATTTCTCAACATCTGGTTCACAGCTTGTAATGTACACCTTGATGTTCGAATACTTCACGGGTACCTCAACTTTGTGTTGATGATGCCGTTCAGAACAACGACGAAACCTCCACGACCAAACCATTCAGCTCAGATACGAAAACTCCATAAAAATCATTCACCTGAGCTACAAATCTTCCCCACCACCACAAATATTCTATTTTTATGTAGACAGTATACAATAAAGGGAAACACATACTCATACTCATAGGTTATAAGTATCAACACCGAAGTTCGAATTGGTCTTGTTAGATAAATTGAGCATTGGCTGAAGAGTTAATAATAATTATTATTTCTTTGTTATATCTCAATGAGTAGAAGAACTGTACTTCTGATATGACATGTAATCTCATTAACGAGGTTACTTTGTATAGAAGATACATGGATGGTAGCCTAGTTATATTTGGTAATGATTTTGAGGTTTCTCAACTATTAGATAAACTCAATGGGGTTCAAAATGATATCGTAATGACCTATGAAGCAGAAAATAATGGCTAATTGCTCTTTTTAGATATACTTTTGAGTCGAAGGGGGAATGGTACTATGAGATGGTCAGTTTATAAGAAATCAACTTGAACAGGGCAATATTTAAACTTTCATAGTTTCTGTTCATCACAATACAAGTGAGGCTTGGTTAAGTGTCTCTTTAATAGGATTCAAAGAATTTGCACTACTGATGCGGTTGAAGAAGATGAAAAATTGCTGACTCACACATTAATGGTTATTCAATAACGTTCATGAATAGATGCAAAAGTCAGTCAGTACCAAGATCTCTCGTTTATTCAGTTCCAAAGAATAAAAATTATATCTATCTATCATACAGAGATTAATCCAATAGTATAGTTTTAAGACACAGATTGAAAGCAGCCATCGAGTAAACCTATTATGCTGCTCAATTGGTTGTGATTGAAAAGTTTAAGTCTATGATTCCAAATAAAATTAGACAATGCACAAATGATTACGTCACATCAAATCGCATTTACCAATTTACATGTTTGCGTGGACACACATATATAGAAAGGAGTAATCGAACAATTCAATCAAGGGCCATTAAACATGTGCCTAGATGGCTTCGAAATTAATGTGTGTCAAATGATCCGATCAACGTGGGAGGTAGAAAATCATGTTTATCGATAGCGAAGTACATAATTGAAACGTAGCACAAAATTGGCATCAATAAAGCTTTTAAAACAGTGTATGGAAATTGTCAAGGGCGAATTCTTAGGTTTACTGAAGCCATGATTATTCGTAAATTTAATCCCACCCCCTACGTATACAAAAACAATTTGTTTTAACCTTGAATTTACCCAGGTAATCCTTAAGTCATTTTATGGCCTAGAATAATCTGACAATTTCTTTCTATATGATATAAAAAATAGGTTTCTCTCCCATTTATTCTTTCTACTTGAACCTTCATATAAAATATCCTGACAAGTACATGTGTGACCAAATTGTTCGAAATGTATGGCGTAAATACATCACATTTTTCAGATCAACTCCATCTTCACACTGATATGTGATATATGTAAGCATGTATGTAATAAAGTTAGATAGATAGATAGATAGATAGATAGATAGATAGATAAATGTGAGTGAGTGAGTGAGTGAAAGAGATTAATCTTTGATCATTTCTTTTCACATTCGTGATTTTATGAATTGGATCAAGGATATGATCTTGTAATTCCTTTTATCAATCATTGTTAATTGTGACAATTAAGTA